TGTGCTTACAGCTCCGAGCCTAGAGCCTGCTTGGGATTCTGTCTCCCTCTCTCTCTCTCTCTCTGCCCTTCCCCTGCTCGCACTCTGTCTCTGTCGCAAAACTAAATAAAAACCAGTTTTAAAAATTAGAATAAAAGAGAGAGAGAGAGAGAAGGTTGTGGCGAGGGGAGGGAGAGGGACTCGCATCCCCAAAGGTCTGACTTCTCACACTGGTGCAAGATGTTTTTGTTGGCCCAGAACCTACGCGTTCCTGCCCCCTGCCCTCTGGTGCGTTGCTGTCCAAAGGCAAGTCAGTGGCGCGACCCCTAGCTACCAGGCGAGCAAGCTGCTTCTCCGCGGAGGCATTTCACCAGCTCGCCTCCCCCAGAGTCTTCTGGCTGGAACCACCTTCTAACGATTAGAGAGGCTCAGTTGACTTTGCCTGCAAATGCCCAGACCGCCCCCCGCCCCCAGCTGTGACTCTGGTAGACGCTGTTCTGCCCAATTTATAGACAAAATAACTGAGGCCCAGAGGTGAAGTAACTTGCTCACGGTAGCCAGCCAAACGACATAGTCGAGATTCAAAACAGGACTTCTTGGCTGCAAATCGTACCTGCCCTTTACACTTTTGACTAACAGGAGAAATCGTAACCACCCCCCAAGCCCCCGGACACAGGCGTTTGGAGAAGGACGGCGGGTTGCATCGAGTCCCTTGTCTTTGTTTTCCTTCATAATCTTGAGTCTTGATGAGGGAGCATCTGGGACAGGCCCTGGGAAGAAGGGGACTGGCAGTGAGGAGGGTGGGACCGGGTGTGGTCTCTCCCCTCGAGAAGCCCGCGAGGTGCAGCTGCAGATCCTTGTAAATCCTTGTAAACAAGGATTTAGAAGACATATCTGGAAGTGAGTGCTAAATTAAGAGGTGCAGAAGCTGCAAACTGGATTAACTGGCAGGGGCGTCGAGTGCTGGGCCCAGAGGGGCCTGAAGTCTGGCAGCGGGTGGAGGGGACCTAGTAAGCGGAGGAAGAGGGGGAGGCCGTGGGATAGGCCTTGGGAGCTGGATAGGCTGTGGGAGCTCCTGGGCGATGGCTCAAGCCCGGAGCCTCTGCCCCAAGGGTGGGGCGCTGTCCCAGCATGACTCTAGTCATTGCTGCCTAGTAGCCCCTTAAATCAGCCCCAGGGACTGTTGTAAGCACTTGAAGTGATAGCTCATTCCAGCCCCACCAGACAACCAGCTGAGGTAGATGATGTTATCTTCATTTATAGGGGAGGAAACCCAGAGAAAGAGGGGATAAATAACATGCCCGGGGACAGAGAGCTAAAAAGCAGGCCGGCGGGGGTCATGCAGGCCAGTGCAGGCGCGGGCTGTGGCCCTAAGGACAGTGGCTGGCCAACTCTTTAGGAAACTGGTGAAGAAATTTCTGGTGAATAATGACAGGGGCCTGGCCTGGGCCTGCACAGAGTGGGCAGTGAGACTAGAGGCAAGTATGGAGGCGGGGGCTGGGGACGTGAAGGATGAGTAGTGAGGGGGGGCAGGTGGGGTCCTGGGGGATTGCGGAAGGGAAGCCCTTAGCCTTGGACTCAGTGGCCCAGGAGTGTCAAGTGACCCTGTCCTACAGATCATAGAAATCATCGAGGGTTAGAGAGGGAAAAGAGAAACACTCACATTTTTTTCCTCCGAGGAAAGGAGATTAAAGTTCCTTGCTCAAGGTCCCACAGCTGCAGGCGGGCCGGGCGGGGGCAAGACCCGACTGCCTTGGTTCCCTCTTGTCCACTGGCCCTCCACTGACCACACTGCTACCAGCTGCCTCTCCAGGAGAGGGTTTCAGGCCCTAGGTCACTGAAGGCCAGTGGAGCTGCCAGCAGTGACCAGTGTGGTGCAGGGTGGTGAGGAATGAAGACTCCAATATATATTATTATTGTTACTCATGTTATCAATAGTTCCCCAACACCTTTATATGCATGATGTCTTTTAATTCTTGGGAGTTTTCTTGGTGATCAGAGTTTCTTTGTTTTTTGTTTGTTTTTTAAAGTTTATTTGAGAGACAGCGTGAGCAGGGGAAGGACAGAGAGAGAGAGAGAGAGAGTGAGAGCGAATCCCAAGCAGGCTCTGCACTGTCTGTCAATCACAGAGTCGTCCTTGGGGCTCGACCCCACAAACTGTGAGATCACGACCTGAGCCGAAATCAAGAGTTGGTCACTTAACCCACTGAGCCACCCAGGCGCCCTGGCGATCAGAGAATTTAAAGGAGGCCCTGCTTTGAGGTGGGAGGGGGAAGAAATGAACTGACGTGAGCTGTCTTCTCTTTGATCCCAGTGTGATGGGCCGGGAGACTAAAGTCCAGTCTGTGCCCAAGGAAGGTGGGGCTGAGGGAGGGATGGGACATACCTGTTGTCTAGACAGCGTGATGTCTAGGGTCAAAAGGTTTCTGGGTCCTGTGTTCTGTGACTTGATTGAGGCCTTGCTTCCAGGGCTCTCCCATCCTAGGACCTTACCAGCCAACTTCTAGGGGCATTGTAACCCGGCCAGGTACCTTCATGGCTTTTGCTTTCCTGCAGCGGTCACCTACCCCATTTTGTAGATGAAAAACCCAAGGGCCAAAGAGGTTAAGAAGCTGCCCAAGGACAAACACCTTTAATGGTTTGTAGACACAGAGGTTTCAAATTTTCCTTGGTTTGTTTCCTAGTAGTCAAGCTGTTTTTTTATGATGAAATCCAACACAGACTCCTGGACTACCAATGTGTCCAGGTGGTAAGAAGGACCTGTCGTGGGGGCGCCTGGGTGGCTCAGTCGGTTAGGCGTCCAACTTCAGCTCTGGTCACAATCTCGTGGTTCATGAGTTCGGTGGCCATCTCGCATTGGGTTTCTGTGACATCGAGCCTGAGCCAGTTGGATTCTTCTGTGTTCTCTCTATTCTCCCCCACCCCAACCCCCGCTTTTGTGGTCGTCATTTCTCTCAAAAAGAAAAAAAAAAAAAAAAAAGAATGACCTGTTGTGGCTGAGTGAGGACAGGGCCCGAGCTGGCCAACTCAGCTTCCCCTATTCCCCTCCTGCGGCACCTAGAACCCTGCATAGGACGCAAGGGGAGTTGGGGCCCTGACCCCTGGGGCATCCCTCTACACTGGCTACTTCTTCCTCTCACCAGTAATACTGAGCCCCTAACCAAAGACCCTGTACCTGGAAGGCCCCAGTCGGTATTTATTGGCTGAATGCATCCTGCACATTATACGTTTGTCCAGGCAGCCGTAACAGGCTTTATTGTGATTTAGGTGAGAGATCTTGGGTAAGTCATCTGGCCTCTGGGTGACATAGTTTCTCTCTTTATGCCACCTACCCCCCCCCCACCCCCATGGGAGCTTCCTACTCTGCCAACCTCACAGGTTTGAGTAAAACAAGCCCCTGCTTAGGCAGAAGTGCTGAAAGCAAACCAGGTCCTTATTCATGTATCCCTGGGGCAGAAAATTCACGGTGGCTCCCACTTAGGTGGGCAGGTCAGCAACCAGTCTGATGTTCCTGCTGGGGATCTGACCGAAGCAGGAGTCTCCCAGAGCGTGGCTTTGCTTCCTGTCCCTCCCTGAAAAGCATGACCCAGACTTGCCTCCATTTGCACATGTATAGGGTGCACCCCATAGTCCCTGTTCAGTTTCCCAGCAGTGACAGAGCCCCATGAGCTGTCTGCTTACCTCCCAAAGCGGGTGTAACCTGCTTCCATAGGCACTGTCAAGGGGGTAATTTATGACAGGGCAGGAGATTCGCTTAAAGGGAGCTCCAGGGGGGCCCGGGTGGCTCAGTCGGTCAAGTATCCAACGCTTGATTTCAGCTGAGGTCATGATCTCACGTTTCCTGCTCTGCACCAGCATGTGGAGCCTGCCTGGGATCCTCTCTCTCCCTCTCCGTCTGCCCCAACCCCCTCTCGTGTTCTCTCTCTCTCTCTCTCAAGAAATAGGTAAATAAACTTTCAAAAAAGCGGGGGGGCTGGGGCAGGAGTTTCAGATGGAAGTGACAGTGGTTGCAGAACTACTGAATGCCCAGGACAAGCACTGTGCTAGGTATTGGGGACGCAGCCGTGCCTGCATGGGAGGCCCTGCCCTCTTGGTGAGCGGTGTCTGTGTGAGCTAGACAACATATAAGCACAAATCAAAAGGAAATGGATGACTGCTGGTCGGAACAGAGAAGAAAACAGGGTTCCTGACAGGAGGGAACCTGGTTTGGGTGGGGAGGCAGGACAGATCTCTGTGAGGAAGTGACATTTCCACTGAGACATGAAGAATGGAGAAAAGGAGACAGTCGGGGGAAGACTCTTGTAGGCAGAGGGACCAGTAGGTCTGAGGAAGAAAGTTCTGGGCTTGTCCTTGGGCCTAGAACGAGTGCGGCCGTGTCTGAGTGAGGGGGCCAGGAAGCGTGTGCTGGGAGGTGAAGCAGGAGGGGGAGGCAGGGCAGAAGGTGCAGGGCTTATGGTGTGTCGTAAGGAGTTTGATTCTTGAAAGTGTTTCTCTTTTTATTTTTTGCTTTCTGGGTTGGGGAGGGGACCCATGCCTGGGTGGTGTCCCAGGGCTGTGAGATAAGGGACACCTCACCGGACGCCTGGCCCAGCTTGCAGAAGAGAGGGGTGGGTGCACTCTTCCAGGGCTGCAACTAGAGGCTGAGGGAGAGCCACGCCCAGAGCTCCGCCACGCCCAGAAGCTGCTAGACCGTTCAGTTGGCCAGCGCTGGGTGGGGTTCAGGTTCAGGCTGAGCAAGACTAAAGGGTAAGGTGCAAACATCGCTTTCGGTACTGAGGAAAACAAGGTAATAACACCTAGCCTGGAATGTGCAGAACCAGCTGGGTGGAGAGTAGGGTGAAACTGAAGTCTACTGGGAAATCCTGGGAGAGGGAAAATGGAGCCTTGTATTAGAAGGCTAAGTAAAAAAAAAAAAAGAATACTAATATTCCAGTGCTTTTAACAACCTTCACAGTGCTTTAGGCAGGGTTCTTGCTTTGCATGCAAAGAAACCCACAGGGCGCTGCAAGTTCAAGGTCACACTGGCCTGGTCTGACAAGTTTTCTGAATTCTGAACAGACTAGGATCTGCCACCTTGCTGGTCAGTAGAATTTGGATTTCTTCTTCATAAAGATCGTTAGAGAAAGAAAGGTCAGGGAACCCTTCGTGCCTGGTGAATAGCTGGACAGTCCGTGCTTCTGGGTCTTGAACAGAGGACAGGGAGCAGGTGGAGTGGGGGAAGGGCTCCCCAAGAAGGCGGGTCTGTGCTGCAAGTTAAGGAGGGGCTGGGAGGGAGGGAAGCTACTTGCAAAGGTGGGCGTCCCAAGCTTTGCAGGGGACGGCAACAGAAAATAAGGCTATGGGAAGCCGGGAGCGTGGGCAAGGGTTTCCCCTGACATGCCATCTGTGGTGTCTTCTAGGCCCAGAGGCTGCTGGCCCAGCGGAGGCCCCAGCGGCCCTTCTTGGAATCCTTCATCCGGGTCCTCATCATTGTGTGTGCCGCCCTGGCCCTGGTCCTCTCCTCCGTCTCCATCTGCGATGGCCACTGGCTGCTGGCTGAGGACCGCCTCTTTGGGCTCTGGCACTTCTGCACTTCCTCCAACCAGACGGGGCCACGCTGCCTCAGGGACCTGAGTCAGGCCCACGTGCCCGGGCTGGCCGTGGGCATGGTCCTGGCCCGCAGCGTGGGCGCCTTGGCTGTGGTGGTCGCCATTTTGGGCCTGGAGCTCCTCATGGTGTCCCAGGTGTGTGAAGACCTCCACTCACGGCGCAAGTGGGCTGTGGGCTGTGTCCTCCTCCTCGTCTCTTTCATCCTCTCGTCCGGGGGGCTCCTGAGTTTCGTGATCCTCCTCTGGAACCAGGTCACGCTCATTGGTTTCACCCTGATGTTCTGGTGCGAGTTCACGGCCTCCTTCCTCTTCTTTCTGAATGCCATCAGCGGCCTTCACGTCAACAGCATCACCCATCCCTGGAGCCAACCGAGGAAGTTTTAGGCCTCCCTCCTAAATCCGAGGACGTCAGGTTCTACAAGAAAGTGTGGTCAAGACGGGACTTTTTCAACACGTGACCTCTGATGGGGGTAGGGGTGGGACCGTGACCTTGAAACTGCTGCTGCTTAGTCCATAACATTTTGGTGGTTGGCCAGAACCAGCCCAGTGGCCTTTGCAGCTGGCCTGCAGAGGTCAGGAGCGTCCCTAGGGCCACCAGCTGCACAGCCTTAGCCAAGTTATTAGGATGTTGATTTTAGAAGTTAACACATTTTAAGACTCTTTTCTTGAATCCTTCTTCCCAGGATGGGACTAGATTAGGAAGCAGCTTGGGTGACTGGTGCCTGGGCTGGCTGCACAGCTAAGTGAAGTTCACCCTTGTTTTATTGACTGTGTGCCAGGGTAGGGGCAGGTGGGTCCCTGGGATCCCCTGGGGTTGCCCAGAGCAGATCATTCTTCCAGCTAAGCATATCCAGTCAGTGCCTAGGACTTTCTTCCACCAGCCCAAAGAACCTCTGTGCACCTTTCCTTGCTATAGCTTTGGTCATGTTATTGAGGATTCCCTCAATGTCTTGCACATAATAGGTTTTTAAACCATTTGACTTGATTTGAACCCTGCCTTTGCGGTGGGGGTGGGAGGGGCATAATCCATGAATAACCTCAGCCGCCAGCAGCCGGCCATCTCTGCTGTCTGTGGGAATCCTGCCTTAATTCTTCGAACCAGCTTCCCAGGATGGCCCACCAACCTTCCAATACACAGTCCTCCCTGAGGCGAGCATGTGTGCATGTCTGTCTTTGGCAAGGGTCAGACGGCCTCAAGGTACCATTTTTGGCTCCCAGAGCACATATCTGGACCTGCTGGACTCCAGGGGGTAAAGGGGACTTGCCTACACTTGTAATGATTACCACCCATCCTGGGGATGAGTGCAGGTGAAGGGGACCAGGAACCAGTGGAGAGTTCCATCCTTGCTGGCAAATCTGCGTTTTTGTGCAGCCAATTGCCCCCTTCCCAGTTTCTTTTCTGCCCAGTAGCTTCAACCGTTTCATTCCACACTAGCCTCTTCCCCCTCCACCTGGTCCATCCTAGCTGCTGGTCACTGTATGGGTTTTTGGTCTCTTGCCCCACCCTTATTACTGCAGGTGCCCTTTCTGGGTGCTTCTATCTATCCCCTGTGGCTTTTTTTTTTTTTTTTTT